TTGCAGGGCGTGTTTTGGGTGTTAGCAATGGCAGTGGCAAGGCCTTCAGAAGCTCTTCGCGGCCTTGACTGGCATTTCGCTCCTGCAGAAGGCTTCGAGCTTCGAGAAGCAGCAGCCTTAGCGCAAGCCCGCCTGCTGCAGGTCTCTTACTCAGAGACTTCCCGCTTCCACAGCAGCAAGGAGCATCCAGTGTCTGGGCTGAGATTGGGGATTTGAGTGGCCTCTGTGCAGGTCCTCTGTGCAGTTGCGCTTCTGCGGCACCCTGAGATGCCCTGAGGTGAACGGGCAGGTGATGCACCCTCTGATCTGGAACTTGACCCGCTTCCACCCCTTCTGGGCGCTGATCGAGATGACGATGGGCATCGTCGCGGCCAGGCACGTCATGCTGGACACGGAGGAGGACAAGAAGAAGCCGACCACGCCGCTGNNCTCAAGTCAAGCTTTGAAGCGGGCGTTAAGCAGTCACCTTAATAGGTAGAAACCAGTTTCGCGCTTTCTCAAGGAATCCTCTTTGGATGTTCTTGGCTGCTTATGCTTCTCTGGGCCTGCGGCTGACCCAGTTTGATTTCAATGTGAGAGGCTGAGAATCCAAGAGTCTGCACGACGTCGGCCTACGTTACAGTAGTTTCACACGCAGCATAAGTGAACGCGCTAAGGATGCCATCATCCGCGGCGTTCTCTTCGTGCCGCTCTTTACCAAGTTCTTGACGCAGATGCATCGGGACGCGCTGACAGCGAATCCCGTCTGCTGGCCTGGAACGAGAGAGATTCCAGCCGGAGACTGTACGGATGTAGCCATGCATGCAATGTGTGTTTCGCGATGAGGCTCCAATTACTAAGTTCTTTGGCTCCAAGCCGATGGCCACACTCGGTTCCATCGCCTTCCCGATGTTCATCCTGCATCTTGCCTTGATTTCTGGGTTGTCCGTTCCTACGCTGCAAGGGGTGCTTGACGCTGCTTCGCGTCGAGGCATGGCCCGATTGGCCAGATCTTCTACAAGAAGGCGCAACGTCACTAGCACAGCATTGCCAAGCACCCACGCAGTTGCAGGTGCTCGCGAAAAAGTTGTGGGGCGGGCCAATGTCCACGAGATTCTTCCCGCTGCTAAGCCGCAAAGAGCCAAGCTGGCGTGGCAACCACGCGTGGTCTTCGTTGAGATCATTCGCGTTGACACGGGCAGGATCTATCTCGCCATCTGCCTTGGCATGAGCCACCTCACCAACGATGCTCGGAATCTGACACTCTCTGTAGGTCGAGAGGATGATGCATCATTGCGACAGCAAGACCATGACACGATCGCCACAGCACGAGTGTTGTCAGACACCTAGCGTGAGCTTTTAGGAATACTTCGTGAAGAACAAGAAGGTGGGCGCCATTGCCGGAAAGGTGGCCCAAGTTTTGGCGAGCTGGACTGAGGGCATGCTGCGTGATCGTGCGTAGGTTGCTGTAATTTGAAATTTCTTAATCACTGGGAAAAATGCCGTGCATGAGGAACAGGGGGCTCAAAGCCGTACTGATGCTCGTGCAAGGCTCTCCGGCACAAAGGTAGGTCCATGACGTTCCGAAGGTTTGGCAGATGCCAAGTTTGGATCAATCGTGCCTCGCATGTGGCTCCGGCTCGCACCGGGGATTTGTACAGGCAAGCAAGTTCATTGCTCATACCTGGAGCCAGTTCTGGTTCCGGACCAAGCACATTCTGTGAGTTCCTGCGAAGACCTGTGCCGGTGCGTTGTTGCTTTCTCCAATGTGTGTCGCCTTGGCCCGACCCCCGGAGTCGATGATGTGAAGTCTTCTGAGGCGTAGCAGATCCGCCCACGTGTTCTCCGGGCCACGCTTTCTTGTGCGCTTGTTCTTCTTCTGTGGCTCACAGCCTTCAT